ATAACGAATAATTTGTACGTGCTAGGCATATTGGAAAATTTCTCAGTCACGCAGACGAAATAATTGGTCAGTTACAGCATTTTTATTTGAAATTCGCGGCATTAAAAACGGTGTTAAAACCGCTTCGTACGTGTATTTATGTGCACTGTCGGACACTGTTAGCGCGAACACGGAGTCGACGCTTTCCAGCATGGGGGATATACGTGCCAAACGAACGAACGACATGTGGAAAACGAAGAGAGACGGCAAGAACTACGCAGTAACACTGGGTAAGTAACTTCTTGTGCTTGCAGACGATCAAAATAAGTTGAAAGTCACGTAATATAGTCCGATTTGCAATAAATAAGTACTGCTTTATTCTTTCTGCTCATGAATATGTTCGAAGATTCTTGTTCTGTGTTCAAATCATCACCCGCACGCTCGAAATCTTTGCAAATAGGGGGAAGCCAGAGGACAGGAGCGCGACAAAAACTGCCCTACATAGGAAATAACAAGAGAACACACCTTTCGTAGCCCACGTACTTTATTATTTACATTTCGAACGTTTTTTTTTTTTTTTTAACCACTCGTAAAGATGCATGGCGGGGTCATTTTCATATAGTGAGAGGACAGGCATATTAGAAATATATAAGCACCAACGGAATGCTGGCGAACGTTGAACACACTCTACATTCCTTTCGATCGTTATTTTGCTTAGAATCGTCGCTCGTTTCTATACATCTGCCATGGAACAGAGGTTTGGGCCTGAAATATAGCGAAGTTTAGCATCGTTCAGTGGTAAAGGAAAAATGCTGTAACTAAAGCAATTACACTTTCAGAATATTAATAAAGGTACATATTACCCGGTACAACCGAAATAACAAAAGTTATTAATGTTATTTTCCGGCGACGAGACAAAATTCACGCGCGTTTTCCCATAGGAATACACAGAAAGACTGGAAAAGTAGACTGCATGCTGTCTGCTTCAATTTGCAACCGGAAGTCCCATAGACACTAGCGCCAGCTGAGCCTCTAGCGTTTATTGTAATAACTCTTTGGGGGTACCCCCCCCCCCCCCCCCCCCCCCCCCCTCACTCACCGCAGTCCGTCTAGTGTCGTTCGAAGCGCCGACTATATTCTCGTTTCATAACTATGCGTTCCAAAGAGCCTAGCTGAAGCGCCCACTGATCTCTATTGTAGTAGGCTGGATTGCGGACCGCGAGCCCGTCGGTGTCGCCACCGGCGGCCATTGCTTGCCACCAGGCAATACACGCAAGTCTATGGGAGAAATGCACAGAAGTAAGCATGTGCGCTGTACTCGGAGGCGAGTATGTTAGGGTGCGCTGCGATTTTTATGTCGGGTGTTTGGAGATCGAATCGGTATTCGTCAAACGTCCGGTCGCCGAATAAAATAATGAAACGTACCGGAACACCTACGGCTGAGCTGGCAAGCTTGCTCTCGTAGTGGAGTAAACAAAGGAACTTGCCGTCAATAAGACCGTCTTTAAGGAAGCACAGAAGTTGATTAATGACAGGGAACTCCCATCTCGACAGCGGCTTTCCGGGAGTGAGCGAATTCCGCGTAGCAAAGCCTTCGGGATTGTCGTCTGCTAAACCCAACTCGACGAACCGCCACCGACTCCGCGGTAACTCTAGGTAACTCTCGCATCATTGAGCTGCACTACCGCGGAGTCACTCATCGACCACAAAATATTTATTCACAAGAACTGCGGGGGCTGTCAGTTTTAATGTTTGTACGTAAGCTATTTGACGGGCTTGTCGAAAAGCATTCAAAAAGTTTCAGGCCGATAACAGCTCAGAAACAGGCGGAAGCGGCACTTTTTCTTGTTCTTTACATAGAGTCCCATGCATTGGTTGGTGTCACTGAATGGCCGCCGGTGGCGCCCTCGGCCCCAGCTGCCGAGGCCGCGGTCCGCGATCTAGCCTACCACAATAAAGATCAGTGGAAGCGCCAAATGGCGATCACAACGCCGCCATTTATCCTGCAGCGGTCACTGCACGTAACATCCATCTTGGCTTCAATCGGCCATTTCGGAGCCGAAATAGTCACAGAGCTGCCACCCCCGTTTCCCCAGCGGGCGCGCCGCGAATTCGCCCCGAAGTTAAGATGAACCTAGGTCGGGATGCGCTACCCGAAATTGCCGCTGAGGCATGGTTGTATGAAAACAATATTAATTGTAGTGCAAAACCTTTCAAACTAAAGATTTTAGAAAACATCACTCGCCCCCCATTTCGTACTAAACTCCAATAAAAGTTACTACAAAAACGGTCTTTTTCCGTTGGTTTTTACGTTTTTAGTAACGTTGAAACGTACGTATCCTGATTCAGCTACCAAAGCAGCCGTCTGGCGGCGCGTCGAGCGACGCTTGGCGAGTCGTGGTGAGTGAGGGGGGTACTGTTCGTGCATGCGGCGCCTATGAGCAGTTCCATAACTGAGCTAATCTAATAGCGTTGGCTCCGGCGCGCCAGCTGTGCGCCGTGTGACGTCACCGCTCCTCGCGCTTGCGCAGCACGGAGCACGGCTCATTATGCGAGCCACGCGAAACTGCTCAACCTCGGCCAGTGTAGCTCACGCTACAAAAACGGTATGCAGAATGGCCGTCCGGTGGCCGCAATCGCGCTGCAGCGAATAAGCGGGGCTGCGCGATTCAGCAATTGTCATAGAGACCAGTGGGGCAGAATGCTTTTGAGCAGGTGACAATACCTTTTCTTTTTATTTTTTATTTATTTATTTATTTACCCTAAGGGCGTTTTCGGGCATTACATAGGGGGAATTTTTAACACCAATATTAGAAGCAATGCAAACAATGAACAAATAGCCGTAACACACTGCGAGCAACGAAAAAAAAAGATAAACGCCACGAAGAAACAATTCAAAGTTGTCATGGCGAAGCAAAGCATACAGAGTGATAATGACTTAGGCTTTATCTGAAATAAAAGAAATCAAGAAGCCTAAAAAAAATTTGGTAATCCTGTATGACTGCAATGTTACTTGGTAAGGCGTTCCATTCATTCATTGCGATGTTTAGCGGGGAGTATTTGTGTAAGTTAGTACGCGCGAATACTGAATTTACTTTGTTAGGATGATCAAAGCGGGGGAAAATGCGAGTAGCGGACATAACGTTCGTTTGACGGAAAGATGATGAACTAGGGTAGATTTTATGAAATAACGAAAAACGTGCAATTCCCCTTCTGGTCGCGAGAAGCATTAAATCTAATGATTCTTTGATACGGGTTATGCTACTAGTAGGAGAGTAATTGCGTGCTATAAACCGGGCTGCTTTGTTTTGTAGTGACTCCAGACTGTTAATTAAGTAAGCTTGGTATGGATTCCATATCACTGAGGTGTATTCCAGTTTCCTTCTTACAAGGGATGTATATGCCATAAGTTTCGTGTTAGTGTCAGCTAGAAATAATTGCCTTCTCAAGAAACCTAATTTTGTAGAAGCATCCTTTAAAGCTATTTCGGTATGGAGGTTCCATGAGTGGCTAAATGTTAAGTGAATTCCTAGATATTTATATGATTGTACGCTTTCGATATCTGTATTGTTAATTTTATAAGTATAATGAGAATAATGAGAATAAATAATATGTTCAAACAATTTACAAGATACGCAAGTTAACGAAATAGGCCTGTAGTTTGTTCGAGAACTAGGGTTAGCGGATTTAAAGATGGTCACAACATGGGCTAGTTTCCAGTTGTCTGGTAACGTGCAAGTTGATACTGACTGTTTGAAAAGCGCTGCTAAGAGGACGCTGGAACAATATTTAGTTAGTTTAGGTAGTTTAGTACTTATTCCATCTGGACCATGGCCTGAATTAGTTGGAAGACGGTCTATCGCACACGCAACACCCTCACTGGTAATACTGAAAGGGTTCATTTGAGCGGTCACAGTAGCCATTGGCATATTAGTATCGGTTAGAGTCATCTCATCTTCGGTTTAGTTCCGATTCAGCTTCAAGGTAACGGCGACGATTTCTGTTTGGTTACGGTTCGGCTGAAAATACATGTTCAGTCCCGTTTTCGGTCTGGTTTGTTTCCGGCATGACGCGTTTCTTCAAACGATATCCGTAGCAGGAAAGGCTTACAGGTGTTCAGGCACGCGAGCGGGTAAAGCAGCCTTGTGCGAATTGAATGCTTTTTAGCGGATGCTCGCTCGCTGATATCGAACTTTGTTCCGGTGTGCTGTTCTGTTTTTCCACAACTGCGTGTGTCGATGAACGAGCAAACTCACTGAAGTTGAACGGATGAGCGCTTGTCGATGTCAGGGCAATTGTGAGCTCATAAACGACTCGAGTTTTCATTTAGAGGACGAAGTGTTCTGAACGTGTTCTTGTGTTTTCGTCTACAGAAGCTCCAAACGAAACGCTTCTTGTTTCCTTCCCCGGTCGTGAGTCTGCGATATGCGTATACGTATATAAATAATTGTTCATTTGCTTGGTTCTGAAGACAGCCGGTTGTGAGTGTTTGCTCCAATCTTTTTTTTTTATGTTTTCTGACGCGCGGACTGTGTTCTGTTTGTGAGCGTGCACGTGTGATTTTTTTTTTTGTACGGTTATTTTTTCTGCTATTTTGGCGATACCCAGTCCCATGCTTTTACGTCCTCTGTGTAGATGTATGTATGGAGGAATTCAGGGCAGACGCACGGGCGCCAAAAAAACCGGCCGATAATCGCATACAAGATGAAATGTGCAGAAATTGTTTTATAATATAATATTATACAATCATATGTATATTTGCAGCGCTGGAAAAAAACTATGGTTCCGTTAAGAGTATACCTGAAATTTATGCACATCAAATAAGAACACGTAGTTCTTTCCTCAAATAATAAAAATGACGTTTAACTAGCGTTTTGAGTTGCGAATATCGTGAAATTTTTCATTTAATTTTTTCACATGCTTTTAAACGTGCGGTGTTTTTTGTGGTATTTCGTGGTATTCGCAAAATATTAATTCAATCGACACGCATCATTTGGTTTTTCTCCGTCTAGATTATCTACTGACCCGCGTAAAAAAAGATGGCGCTTAAGGCACGGATCGAAAATGGCGTCGTCTTCTCCCCGTACCCGTCGCTACCCGTGCCGGAAATGTCGCTTTACCAGGTGGTCAAACAGTGCCTCGAGCAACACGGGAACAGAACAGCTGTGGTAAGATCATAAAATGTTCTTCTTTTTTTATATATATAGGGATGATTTTATATCAATTTGTGCAGGATTAAGGGGTTATGTCTCCAAAAAGTTTTGAAAACATATGTGTGCCAATTTGAGCAAATTCTTTAATAATACAAAACCGCAGACCGTTTTTGGGTCATATTTTTGGCTTTCGAGATTTTGCTTTTAAAAGATTAAAAACGGATATTGCAATCCAGGCGATGGTCACAGGCTCAGGTAGCTTCCGCAAAACAGAGAAACTTTGTACATGACTTTCTGAACAAAATTAAAAGTGCTAAACTTAATAAAAGTTATTTTTGTTTCACCTTTTTGTTTTGGTAAATAATCTGGAATCGGTCCCAGTGGATGATAATTTACCAAGTTTGGATTATATTGAGTTCTGCAACAATCCACTTTATGACATAAATTATGTATGACATAAAAGCCTAAACCAATACCTAATCAATAAGCACGATATTGTTATAATCAAATAATGTTATATTGCCGAAACGCCCTCGAGCTCAAGAGAAAACGCAATTTGGTTCAAAAAATGCTTTACCAATATCTTTTTGTATGAAGAGCTTTAGGCATGGTCTAAAACTTCCTATCTATATCAGACGTAACATATGCTTTGGAAATATACGCCCGTACATTCAATTATACAAAATGCTTCAAGTTCTATTTCAAGATTCGAAGCTGGGTCACCGTCATATGTATGCCTATTAAATAATTTTTCTTTTCACCTTATCAGAGTAATCGTTGGCTTCGATTTAACGCACAAGTAGATAGAACAAGGCTGATACGTAGACGAGTGTTTAATGTATCTTAGGGTTTTCCTTCACATGTCTAATTTATTAGTATAAAAAATCTTAAATCAAAATTAAATAGATTCAGTAAATACAGTCATGAAAATTTAAATACTTCCCTCAAAATTTTTTACGTTTAAATGTTTAAATACCTTCCTCAAAATGTTTTATACGGAATGATGGAGTAATCGGGTGAAACAAGATATGTTCGATGTTCCGACAGCCATAAAAAACCCTTTCAGCGTTTTCCAACTCTAGCTACTTCACGTACACTTTACCGTCAAAGAGGGTGTTTTTTTTTAATCCCATTGATAGTCGTGCTTTTTTTTTTTTTTGGTAATACCGTGTTTACATATATCGTGGGAACGTACAAAAAAATCGGAAATACCGAGGTTGGATCTAAAATTGGCCGTAAAATCGGCCCCTGCACCGAGCAATCTAAATCTTTTGTCAAATCCTACCTGGTAAAGCCTACCTGTTTGTTTTTGACCGGTAGGCTTCACCTTGTACAATTACAAGGCGTAGCTCCCTTTCTGTAAAGGATAGGGGCAGAAAACTTTCCAAGGTAAACGGCGGACGGCGACGTAGACGACCAAGTCGAGTGGCGGGAGCGTTTGGAGCACGTATTGATAGACGGCGACGGGAGCAGCGTCGGAGGTGTAGCCGACCAGCGAAAGAAAGCAGACGACTAGCGGACAAAAATCAGCAAGGGCACAACAACGGCAGAAAGGGCGCAGTTGCGTTGCAACCATGTTTTAGCTTACTTTCGTTACTTCAAGTTCCTCTATCATTGTCCGCATTTATTGTTAAACGAAAGGTACATTACAAAAGGATTATGTTAACTTTTATTAGACCACTGTCGTCACGGGCAATTTTGATATTTTAAAAGCAAGCCGTAACAAACAGGTAGAGCCATCTATCAATAGATGCGCCAAACAAGATTCTCCGCTAGATTCGGTCGTGTGCGTCGCCGTCTGCCATTGAACTGTGAAGCTTTTTGTTCTTATTGGCCGTCATTTTTACAAAAAGGAGGCTTCGCCTTGTAATTTTGTAAGATGAAAGCCACCCCTGAAATACAGGTTTGACGAAAAGTTTAGATTGATACGTTCAGGCGCCGATTTTTATGAGCTATTCTAGATATAACCTCGGCACTTTAGACACCATATAAATACAATTACACAACATATCTGGTAACGCAAGTTCACAAAACGTTTAATGTGACCGAAAAGCGCTGTTCGGAGTGACGACATTACTCTCGATGCTTGGCTAATTTTTTTTAACATAGCATTGAGAAAACAGTCCTTGTTTTGAGCTTTCGTCCATAAGTGCCATGGCTGAATGTTCTGCACAAAATTTACAGCATTCCGTTCCTTTTTCTTGTCGTCGATGTAGTGAGCCATATACGTGCTGTGTGTGGGTCTCCACACACGAGGCATGTGGAGACTCACTCAAGCATCAAGCCTCCTTGCACAACCGCAAATCGACGAAGCTTAAGACAACTGGACGTGCTGATGACTGTTTAGATAGTCTTCCCTAAAGCTGTAACTATTCTTCCGAGATGTTTGTTTACTTGCGATTTATTAAATATGTTTATGTAAACGAGTTTTACAAGCGTATGGAAACCTTCATATATTTTACGTGACATGCTTCATTTGAAGCCGCCAACAGTGTGATAAAGCACCATCAAATAATAAACAAAATAGAAATTTTCGAATGAACGGATTTAAAAGAGCAAACTATACGTAACAGCTCATTATTATTGAATGTTTCACACCACTCCAAGGGCTGTTCACACGAACAAAAACAAATTTTATTAAAAATAGCCTTTTAAAAAAATTGATGTTGACAATTCGTCTTTAGCGTTTCCCTAATATTGAAAGGCGACCTTCGCTAAGATAGAATATTTTGTCTATAACTATATTCTGCTTTCTCAATAGATATTTGTTTAAGCTTTCATTTGTTATAAAATGTGATATAAAATTGGATGTTACCAAAGTTATCGTTATACAAAACTGGTAAAATATATCCGGGGCAAGGCTCTGAAATATTTATAAAAATTAATAAAAAGTAATGCATGTCATCCACCCTAATTTAGCTTAGAATGCCATGTAGAAGTTTCTTTGTTGTGCAAAAGATGTCTAAGTCTGCTGAAGCTCCCATATACGCGACTTATTTATGATCGCACAAATCCCAAAATCCGCTTTTTAACCTGAAAAAAAAAAAGAAACAAAAAAAACTTGAGAACCAGAAATATGACGCAAAATAGCTTTCAGCTTTGTCCTTTGGAGGAATTTGCCTCAGACATATATTTGTTTCAAACGTTTTTATGACATTACAATTAGTGCCTGCACGATCTGAAATGAAATCATTCATACAATTCATTTTGTCGATAGAGGAAACGTTTATGTTTCCATGCTCTGAAAAAAAAAAAGTTTTAACCGATATCACCGAGCATTCGGCGCATGCCTGGCGCCTCAAGAACTTTAAGCGCAAGCACATGCGCGTAAAAAAATGTCCAATCCAGCTTGCGAAATCTCGGAAAGATAGCTGCTCCAAACTGCTGGACACAAACAATTTGATACCCAAACAATCCACCTTTTGACGCCTCGTTCCGTTAAGCCCCGCCCAGTTCTGCCTATTTCCAAGAAGGCTTTTCAACTCTGGAACAGCATAACAATGTGCCATATACTCTATCTGGTTTTAAAACATGAAAACACATATTTTATTAGATAATGCTGCAGTTCTCTCGTCTTAGAATTCTCCCAGATTATAACTTTTTACTCAAGTCTACTTAAAGGAGGGCACCGACGAAATGTTTATAGACACTGATCTGCCCAGATTTGGCTTAGCAGATCAACTACACATCTGAATTAGTTGCCCAATAATAGAAGTCACAACGATTGTTTTTCGTGAAGTTGTTCGAGTTTTATATTTGGTATATTGAAGGGCTAAGACGGTTGTACTGGGAACACTGAAAAGTGATGTCAGAGGTTGTAAGACGGGGGAAGGGAAATAGGGGCGGAATACCTCTTGTTTGGACGGGTTACTAATGTACAAGAAATATGATGTGAGAAGATTGCCGATAAAACTCACGCCATGAAGAAAAAAAGAAACATGCACAGTACTGTGTTTTTGTTTGCCTGCTTAACTTTCAACTTAAACAGCATGTAATGTCACTTCACTGAAAGAGCACGAAAAAATTTAAATGTGCGCTTTGGCATCACAATAATCTGGCACTTTACCAAAAGCTTTTATTTTCGTTTTGAGATATTAAAATGCATAGCGAAAAGAGTAAAGCCTGGGTATTTCGAAAATATGTTTAATCGAAGTGGTGATTCTAGATGATGGGAACTCCTCGGGTCTCGATCGCCCAGCTATAAACCGCCCAGCTATTGAACTTGATGTCTTTGTTTTGGCAGATAGTCGAATGCTAATTCCAAAAGGCCGGCTCATTACGGACGAGTGATATCAGCAGCATAATCTGAACCCTGCGATGTGTCGTACCCTGTTATTTTAGCTGTCCCTATCTCGGAGTTAGATTATGATGTTTCCTAACCAGCGCGTATGCATATTTTTTGGGCAAATCAGCAGCACCTTCTGTGCGGCGCGGAAAACGTCCACGGCGTCCATTGCTCGCACGACGACTTGAACGGCTTCGGTCCGAACGTGCTACAGCCGGATCACCGTAAGGCGAATATCTGGCCAGTCACTCGCATGGGAAAGAACCGATCCGTTATTCTGGTGCGACGAAGCCGGACTAATCCCGCCGTCGTTGTGACAATTCGTACGTGGGATCGGGCAGTTTTGATGCGCTTCTTTTTCGCGCTTTAGTTCACAGTAGTCAAGCGCCAGTGCATGAGACGGCTCGTCGCGTTTCGTGTTCTTTAGGCGCAGAGCTGCAGCGAGATTGTCGCGCGTGCAGAAAGACTAAAGTTCCCTCTATGCATTGCGGTAGCAGCGGCGTAAGCAAGCTGGCTGATTACATCGTTCTAAAGACCATTTTCCAAATCGCCCAAGCATCAAAGAGAATGCCGGGAATATAGTAAAGGCGCTGCTCGTACTGGCAACTGCGGAAGTAATTCTTCGAAGGCAGAAAATTAAAACAAACGGCACTTCGCATGCCCGTTCTACACACGCCCAATAGACCGATCTCACGAGGAGTTGCGCGACGCCATTGCTGCCGCGGTGCAT